TTTAGTACTACGACATCAAGAACAAACATATTGGTCCTTCGAGCCGGATTTGAACCAGCGACCTATGGATTATACGTGTTGGGGGGAGACTAAATAACTCATTTTATGATTGTAACGTCAAACATCCCATTCTTATGTCAAGTTCTTATTATATAATAGTTTTACTCTTTGAAATGTTTCACATCAAATTATTTCATGCTGGCCCACAGTTAATGGCCATTACTGGCCTATTGGTGGCAGAAATTTAGTTCGAAAAATTACACGACAATGCTTAAAATGTTGTAGGATAAATGCAAATACGATACAGCCAGTCATGGGAAACTTACCAGAGCAACGCGTTCACCTAAAATTCCCCTTTCTTGATTCCGGAGTAGACTACGCCGGACCAATTATGATCGCCGATAGAAAGGGGAGAGGTGTTAAACTCGTCAAATGTTTTATCTTCGTATTTGTGTATTTGGCCTCAAGAGCCGTCCATTAGGGCTAGTGTCAGACATGACAAAGGATGCCTTCTTTAGCTGCTTTTAGCCGTTTTATTGCTCGTAGGGGAAAACCACGCAACGTGCTTTCAGACAATGGCACTACGTTTGTTGGGGACTTTAATGAGTTGGCTCAACTGCTGTCACAGGACCTACAATTAAACGACATCGATACAGGTATTAATTTTTCTTTCATACCAGCCTATACACCTCATTTCGGAGGACTATGGGAGTCTGCTGTCAAATCCGTGAAACATCATCTGCGTCGAATTTAAGGCCTAACACATATGACTTTTGAGGAAATGGCAACATGTCTAATCCAGATAGAAGCAATATTGAATTCAAGACCCATAGTTCCTATTTCAAATGACCCTAAAGACCTCAGTCCACTCACTCCTGCACATTTCTTTACTGGACGGTCTCTAGTTATGATGCCTCATCCACAGATTGCCAATGTCAATGTCTCCAGTCTCCAGCGTTACGATCAGGCCTAAACAAACCCCCATCCCGGGCATAAGGACTAATGTCCACAAGTCAATTGGCAAACGGGATAGGGTTGCGATGGCACGTTGCAAGACCGAATCTCCAACCAAAGCCTTGACCACCCTAGGCACCCCATCCGGTACATACGACAACTTAACAATGCGCCCAAGGCGCCAGTACAAAGGCAAAGCGATAGGTTCTTTAACTAACACGAGGTCTCCAACCCGAGGAGGATCCGTCTTGTCAGACCACTTAACGCGCTGCTGCAAAAGATATAGGTAATGATTTCTTATATTTACGCGAACACTACACATTGATTAAAACTACTTTTACGGATTTTATCGCGTTTATTTTACTTTTAATTACTTTTATTTTTAATTCCCGACGTTTCGGGCGCTTTCCAGCACCCATGATCACGGGGGACTGAGATGACTGACGTCCCAATGTCATTGTTAAACCCGGAGTACCTTCAGCTTTTTTAATTATTGTTTATGGTCCGATTTATGCAAAATGAACTGACTATGTCCTGAGGTCCATTTTACAATGAGACAAAGTAACTGCATTTTTAGAACATCTTAATTCCATAAACTCTAAAGTTCAATTTACTATGGAGTTAGAGGCAAATAATTCCTTACCTTTCCTAGATGTGTTAGTCATCCGAAATCCTAACAACACCATTGGTCACATTGGGTATAGGAAAAAGACCCATTCAAACCGATATTTAAATCCTTCACAGTTAGCTACCGTTGGCCAACGAAATAGTCAATTTCGTTGACACAACTATATTTAAAAGTTCATTTGTGTTATATTATGATTTTACGACCCCAATATAAGTTATTTGTCATCTAATCTGCAACAACAGAAGTCACACTAATGTTACTCTAATTTGAATTACGCTTGTAACTGAAACATTTATTATGTACATTGCAAATGAATTTCGCAATGTATAATAATAAATGTCTCAATTCTAAACTCAATTTATTGTTTGTAGTAAATAAAGAGTATTGAGTCGATAGTGCTATTATTTTCCCAATAATCACGAAGTTAAAATTATTTTACGGCAAGTCTTTTACCTAATTAAATATTTCTTAAGAAAAATGGCATGTTGATACATAAAGGGCGAACCTCTGACCTAGGGTTTCAGAGTAAAACCACGGACAGACGAACGGACGGACAACGCGAAACTATAAGAGTTCCTTATTGTGTAACTACGGAACCCTAAAAACGTGAATATACGATATTAACACCGACGGTGAACTTAATTAATTGTCTACGTGCACGAAAATATTTGATATTTGGGTGCAAATAAAAATAATTCAAAACTAAAATTAAACGCAAAATTAAATTAAATTCACCAATCTGACGAAGTGGAACTTCCTTACGATAAATATAAATAATTCAGCTGCCAACTTCAAATCATACTGGCCACCAATCACGTGTTATAACATCTCTTTTAATCAACATCTTTTTGATTTAGGTGGTACTTACTGATAGCCCTTTATCAAAACGGTGCCCACTTGTTTGTCATAAACTTACTAACATTTCTTGAGAGCTGAGGTGGTTTATAATATAAGTATTTAAATAAAAATTAATCTGGTTAGTAACAAATTTTTTTGCCATTCTTCTAATTAATAATGTCTTTCTCTAGGCGGTAGCGTTACCTTTTTGTCTAGTAATTTTCATCTGGGAAGTGACTTTTTCTATTTATTTCTTTTAAACTTTGAAAATAAATACTATAAATCGATTAACAATACAGGGTTATTTTACAATAACCGGCCAGAGAATGTTCAAAATAAGTAATATAGGCAAATAGTAAAGAAAAAGAAACTCAAATATTGTTTTCTTTTTGTTGTTACCCATAAATCACATTCAATTTGGGATAGATTAAAAAAAGTAGCTTTATTTACTCGTACTTTCAAAAGCTGCAATAACGGTATATCTATATATACAGATATTTATATATTAAAATTTGGTCAGTCTATTCGTACGAACGGTTTTACTACAAGACTATGGAATCAAAGTTACAAAGGAACAGTTATGAAGAAGTTAGCTTCCGCTGCTACTTGCGGCCTAGGTCAAAAAATAATAGTAATCAAATAACTAACACGAATAAGTATTTATTTATTTAAGCTCTATTTACACTCAATGTACAAAAAGTCACGAGAAAGTCATCGTTTAAGTGTTTGATCTGGACTCTGGACTCTGGAGCCTTTATCTGACATTGCGGAGTATTTTATGGCTTTTCCACCTTTACATAGCCTTCGTAAGTGCATAATATACGTATATGTGTTTGTACTGTATTCATCATCATCATCATCATTATCATTACAACCCACCACAAATCCACTGCTGAACATAAGCTAAGGAGCTAAGGAGCTAAGCTAAGGAGGGCCACAAAAGACAGTCGTGAGTTCCACCTTCAGCCGTCGGCTTCCTGAAATAGATAATATAATATAGCATTCCACCAAAAACATTTTTATGTAAAATGTTGCCAATACGAGACCACATGGCTCGCACTGTCAAAAAGTTATCAGATATCATTTAGAGCCAAGCATCTGATTCTATAAGCCCTAACTTCACAAACTCTACACCTTAGTCAAAATATGTAGCTTGGCCGTTTCTTTATCAATTTTCAGACCTTTAGCATCAACATTTGCGGAAGTTTCGTACAAATTTCCATCCTCTAGTTTAAGGGGTTGAGGAGTAAACGTTCCAAGTTTTAAAATTTTGTTGCTGTTTATGTAGGTACTAATACTAGCTCACATACAAAATTTCGGCTTTTTAGAACTCCAGGAAGTACCCTAAGAATTTTGATGAACATCAGTAAGTGAGTTACTGACGAAATCGGGTTCTTTTTAGACATCAATAAAATCTAATGTATAAAAGCTATGCAACTGAAACTTTATATGCTTAATAAGTCTACTATTGACATCATATCCTTAGCATATATATTTATAATATCTATAATTTTGTTTATCTAGTATAATCCAAGCACAAGTATATGAGGGTTCAAAAAACGACGAAGCGTTACGAGAAAAGGTACGAGTACTTAAGTAGGGCTTCGTTTTTGGTTTGGTTGGTTCGCCTTGGCGGGGGCACTACCGTGCCCCCAGATAAATATATTTATATTTTTATTTATATATGTATATATTTTCGTATTTATGTGTATAGGATATATTTAGATATTCAGTTATAGTGTTTTTGTTTATTACAATTTTGTGAATTGTATTTTCTAATTCTTGCACAGCACAGAGGAAGAGTTGTATAGAACGCCACGTAACATTAAGTACGCAGTCCAGACAACAGTACCACAGTTTAAAGAACTGTGACCCTACATACCCTTAGTTTTAAGGTGTTACATTTAAGTTTTAAATAAATAAACAAAAATTAAAGCTAATATAGTTACTAAGAAGTCAATTAGTATTAATTACTAATTAAATAGTTTGTTCTCATGTTTTCTGCTCTTATTATCATTAATACAAAGTAGGTACATAATTACCCATTTATGATGAAGACCCATATCTCATTTATTGACAAGACTTATTGACTCGTCAAAACAAAGGAATGCATCAGTTATCGAACATTGAATTCGGTAACGTCTCAAGAGCAAACATAATCGAACAACCAATCGGAGCATTTAGATACCGCGACTATCTACGACAATAATAGATATTTGGGCGAAACCATTGTTTTTGATTGTTAATGTATCATAAAGTGTATAGGAGCTCAACGCTACGTGCTAGAATGACGACTGATAAAAGATTACCGCGGTAACAGTATCATTTGATCATTCGTCGAGTAAGGATCATCTCCACGTACACGGAGAAATACAAGGGGCAACAACAGTTAACTAATTGAATCAATTCAACAAGTGCCGTCCGCCGCTGATTGCGGCTCTCTGGAAGCAAGTAGACGATGCGACTGCCCTTAGTAATGCTAGCTGATTCCTAAGTGTTGTTTTGTGCTTAAGTGATCACAATGTGTATCTTAGGGCGATTCTGTTAATATGTGATACAAGTTTTAGAAACGAAATTAAAAATGACAAGGTAAGAATCTAAAATATGTAGTAAATTTTGTGCAAATATTGTCAAATAAAAAATGTACCTATCAAAGATGAAGAACTTATAATAAGTTTCGGGTATAAAAATAGTAATTTCAAAATATAATTAAGTCATAATCGTGTCATCGTGTTATATTAAATACAATATTATTAATGTGAATAATTTTAAATTTTCCATAATTTAATACGTTTTCCGATCGCAATATTCGCTTATACCATATGAGTTTCTTCACTCATGTGCATATACAGACACAAAGCACAAGATGAAGTCTTAGAGTATAGTACATATTATTTATACTTAAATATTATATATATATATATTTTTTTTTATATATATATATATATATATATATTATATTATTACAGTTATCAAAAGTTTCAAAACAATAAAACACATTTTTTTTAAATTGTATTTTATAACTATTTACAAGTTTTGTTAATTCATCATTATCAATACCTCAATTACAGTTAGTTTTCGGAAAACTCATTAGTATGATGTGTTTCTCTAAGTGGAATTCAAGGCGTCATTTGTTTCTTAAATATAAAATACTATTAAACGAGCAATTCTTGTATATATATAATCGGGATCTCGGAAACGGCTCCAACGATTTTCATAAAATTTTGTGTCCAGGGAGTTTCAGGGATAATAAATCGATCTAGCTAGGATTTATTTTTAGAAAATGTCTTTTTGTCCGTGTTTTTAGGCAATGAAAAACTGCTACAATATCGTTAGGATAAGAAGGTAAATTTTGACAAATTGTCAATGATTATAAATAGCTTAATTGGTATAATGGGCGGTCACAGAATCGTAGAACCCCGGTTCGAGCCCAAACCGACCGAACGACTTTTTAATTTTTTTTCAAGTTCTTTTCTTTTTTCGAGCCCTTTTTTTAGTATTTTTTAAAAACACGAAAATTTAAATTAAAATAATTGCACTCATGATTTTTTATTCAAATAACCAGTTCCGTTTTTTCTGTTATGTCGCTAAGATCGAAAAATATTATTTATATTTCATCAGTATGTAATTTGTATCTAAATATAATTTCCAAAACACACGAATTAAAAAAAATCGAGCGAAAAATACCGAGCAAAGCTCGGTCAACCGGGTACTATAAATTATATACACAATTCAAATACCCTATTCTTTATTTCATTCTTTCTCATATATTGAAGAATTAATAACATTATGTAAACTAAGAGACCAGATTTATTTAAAAAAATTCGGTCATAAAATTTCATGATATTTGACTACACAGCTAAATCATTAATTTTTTTTATTGCATTGGGTGACAAACGAGCACACAGTTCACCTGATGGTAAGCGGATGCTGTGGTCTATAGACATCCACATTTATCCTCAATTAAGAATCAAAATGCAAATGCGTTGTCACCCCCTGAGGACTAAGATGGGATGCCTCGATTCCAGTAAAACGGGTCTCCGGTTCTCTACATTCACCATACGAAACACAGCAGCATTACGCTGCTATTTTACACTGGTATTTTGTAAGAGCGTGGTCCTGCCCCGGTCGAGCCGAACCATTCATGCTACAACTATAATATAGCTGCAGCTTGACTCTACAATGTAAAATACTAAATACCATAATACTAAAAATACTTTCCTCTAAAAACAATGTTTTATGCATGGTGCTACAAAGAAGAAAATGTCGAAAACAATATACGATATTAATAAAATAGTGTTGATGAGTACTTTACGTAAAAATGTTTCAGATAAAGTTTGAACAACATGACGCTTACGTCACAGTATATGTACAAAGAAAATGTATGAATCAATTTAATCTAATCGACATTTTCGTACACTAAACGCGTTAAGTTTTAAGACTAAGATAGGAAATACTAAAATGTGTTAATGAAATAAGCCTCTCCAGATACTTTTTAAGTTAGAAATGTCATATTGAGTAAAGTAATATTAAAACAATCAAATATCTTAAAAATGCATACGTATTATTATCGATTTTTGAATATTTAATCAATGTTTTTACATAACCAATTTCGTATATAAACCAGTTTTTATAATTCGGGGAATAAAAAAATCTATTAAGTAAATAAAGTATTACCTATTTATTGTTATTTAAATTCGCGACTGGCGATTTATCATCGGAAATCATATTAAACTTTTTACTTTGTATCGCTAATTTGTATATAAACAGGTAAACGAAATTTCCAGCTTTAACTCTATGAAATTATTTTAATTAACGCTAAGAGGGCGACCTCTTACCTATACCTACATTTTTCTTCTGATTAACATCGCGAGGGGCGTGGGCAAATCATAAAGATAAATCACACAATTGGGGCCGCCACGCACGTTGCGCAGGAGTGTCCCTCACAATATGTACAGCTTCCGTTACATGGGTCATTGAAGCCGTGATGTCTCGCTACCAAACATCACTTAAGGGGTAAATTAAGAACTTCAAATAACTTCCAAAGCGAAAAAAACAGGATATCGGCTATTTGTTTAACGTCAACATCGCACCGCACTCTGCTAATCGGTTGACTTAAAATGATGATGGGGACAGGGACTGGCATGGCCAGCGCGAAAGTATCGGGTCTGCGGTAACAACCTACACCCTGCGCAATAAGCATGAAGTATGGACACATTCCAAATAATGCATACTAGATGATGCGTGATTCGAAAGACCTATGTCCTCCTACAGTGAGCTATGATAATGATATTTTTTTTATTGTAACTCATACTGTATTTAAGCCGTTATGAAAACAAACAAGCTAACGTGGTCCTTCTGTTAACATGTTACTTCTTACCGTCCACGAGGAGTCTTCAATTAAAAGAAATTAATTTGACCTCTGAACAATTAAGAACGCGACTGTAAGACCTTTACCAATTGCAATAACTACAAGAACCGCCTACGCTTGTAAAAATTTAGCAGCAGAATTCATCACTATTGAATATTCGAAAGAAGTAACTTTGTAGTTTTATATTTGCTCGAATGATTGGATGAGTTGGTAGCCTATTTGTTTTAGAACTTCAATGGTCATTAACGACTAGTTTTAGATCGTCGACCTCCTTCGTATCATTCTTCAAAACATTTACATTTTTTGTAAATAGAAGAAGTTAGTCCTTTAATTTTGTCTATTTATAGAAAAATTAAAGTATAAAAAATCTATTATAATTTGCCTTTTTTGGCTGCAATCTTAACCTTGATCGTTTTATCAAAACGTTCGTTGCGAAGATAGACATGTTATACTTATCTGAATTCAATTTAGGGCATGGTCGACTATAGGATAAGTAATTTAACTGTGTTTTAATTAAATAAACTCCATATAAATTAAATATAAATAGAGAACAAGTAAATCTCAGTAATACTATTTTAAAATGTGAAGATACGGGACGTATTGAGGATACCTGTACGCATACAGTAGAACCTAAAAGGTACTAAATATATTGGTGTAAATATTAATGGTTAATAAATAATATCGATTCTGTTAACAGACTTCAGAAAAGAAGAAAGTTATCAATGCTCTTATGCCACTACATGTTCTTTTTTAATTTATAGTAGTAATAATACTTTTATTATAATATCTTAATTTCCAGGATGCAAACACTGTTTAACAATAAATACAATTCACTGTTGAACACAGTTCAACATCTGTGTCTGAAGTAGGTAATGTGATATCTGTGTTTCAGACAGCAGCGCTCTTCCCTTTAAGATTTATTTATTTTTTCCCTTTTATATATATATATATATATATATATATGTGTATATATATATATATATATATATATATATATATATATATAACATATTTAAAAAGAAGAGTTTAATATGTTTAATTATGTTTGTAATACGTACTGCAAAGGAGTGGAATTATTCACCAACCATCTTAACAAAATAAGTCCGATTACATTGTAGCTATTTTCGGTAACTATTTCTTAGTGTAATATGTAAATGATAGGTGTTTTTAAGAGACACGCAAAAGACACCTACCAAAAAGGGAATAAGCTTATTTTTAACTGACAGTGCAATTTAGCATCAAGGACTTCATCACCGCTTAATGCTAAGTGGTAATGTAGGTGAGCAGTTTCTTGTAATTCCTTATAATTAAAAATATTAAGTAACAGATTAGTTGACCGAAATAGCTGATTGTTTACTTGTCGATGGAGTATACTTCCACAGTAGACCTATATCATATTATGTGTCCACCAGACTGGATAATAATTGTGGCTGGTTTATATTTTTTTAGATAATTTAATTAGATATTGAGGTATGATAGTTAAAAGAACACTTAACAATCTAATGTTCATTTGGATAGTAAAGGTGGATTCGAACCCAAGTAACAAAACTCATCGCGGGTGTTAATCGGCAGATCTCTCGGCAAACGTACATTAGTAGATACATACATTTATATTTAACATGATGTATATACAACAATAAAAAGAAGTATCTGACAGCGCCTGTGGACGCGCGCGTAGTTGCGAAGCAGTGGACATGCGCTTGTCACATCATCAGAATGCCTCTCATTACACTGCAGCATACCATTATTGTATTACTTTAAACCTACTAATTTTCTAATAATTTAGCCTCAATTATCTTCATTATCTGTGCTGACAATACATTAAGAATAACATGTTTCACATTGTTACCATTCACTATGTGACGCGGTTAAATTATAGGTGCGGCAAGAGTTACGGTTTTCAGGAAGCATTTTCGCAGTTATTCGTCATTGGTATTGAGATATCTCAAAAAATTTATAATTTTTGTAGTTTCCTGAATGTATCATTGATAAGAATACATTTGTTTCATACAAAAAGTGGTTACTGGTTCGTCTAGAGTACGTCTTTGAACTTTAAAACGTTAAATGACAGCACCTTATCAACTATTTGCGTAAACAATAGCAATGTTTTACATCGAAAAACTCGTCCATTATCATTGACTTCTACATTATAATTCTATAATAATTGTATAAATCAATAGGCACGTAGTTACTGGATTTCTCTCGACTGTTTAATAAG